GTTCATCGGTGCGACTCGCGTGACACAACGCTATGACACCGCGATATCCCGGGGTCGTCACCACGTGGGAATTGTCGTGGAAGCCACGCTGGAGGAGTGAACGAGAAGGGGTAGTGACGATGACACATACACACACAACACACACACACACACACACATACACGCACAAACCTCGATGAAAAAACGAAAGGATGCTTTTGCTGGCGGCTTGGTGTCGTGGGGTTAACGGGGTGGAGGGTTGGGGGATGGGTTGCTTTGAAAAGCTCCCTCCCTCTTGGTTCCGTGGGCGAAGGAAACGTCGATACACGGTCCGCCTACGATACTGACACTTCCACCACAATCGCAGAGCGCATTTTCAGGCGCGCTCAGGCCACTACGGCTAATTACCAGACCCCCGCGACACAAGAGACCGGGACAAGCAAGCGAGCGAGCGAGCGAACGGGCGCGACCCTGAAGAGAAAGAGCGGCTCCCTTCGCGGCCGACAGAGAGAAACTGAGAGCACGCACATGCGCCTGCAAAGCGATCCAGACGAAGACGAAACGTGCCCTCCTGGTGGGGCATCCAGAGGGACAGAGAGGGAAACAGAGAGAAAGAGAGAGAAAGAAAGTGACTGTTGGGGGAAGGGAAGAAGGGGGGATACGCAGCGATTGCGGACCGACGCCACAGGTATATACAGAGGGTTGCCCCGGAGGGCGAGAAGGGTAAGGGTATATATACACGATGCCTAGACCATTCGAGAGGGCTGAAGTGCTCTGTACAAGGGTGGGGGCGAACGCCGAGCGCGCGATTTTTGGACTGATGATGCGTGACCTTGTTGTACCCAAGGGGGTGGAGAATGATTTTTTTTTTGAAGGGGTGAATTTCAGGGGGTTATATTCGATAGATTTTTTTTCAGTATTATATTAAGGAATATTATACAGATGATATATTTCTAGTTACGATCTTGAAAATCTTGAAGTTATTGTCACGGGTCGAGGGAGAAAGTTTGGTTCTGTTGGATTTTATCAGAAGTTGAACCAATTCTCATAAAAAAGGGTTGGTGAGACTGGAAAGAATTTTCGAAAGCCCACGAAGTCTACAGGTGCACTTGTTTGGCCATAGACGACCAAGCGGAGCGATTAAAGAATGCTAATACGTCGTCGTATTCAAGGTAGAAGTCGTCACTTTTGATAACTCAGGGCAGAGAACACGGTTATACACAAGACGCAACGAGGCGCGCGAGGCCTACGGCTGCACGCGATCACCGAGCCGTTCGGTCTCGTTTCCGATGGAATTATTACGCGAGGCCCCCGAGCCGCCGCGACGATTAGATTATTCGAGTGTCAGCGAAACACAGCCGAGCTCACCCTCGATGAAAAGTAAATCGGATCGATCGGCTACGCGATACGCACGCGAACGCGTGACGGAAATCGCCCTTGTTTCGGGGACTGGTGTTTCGAGGGCAAGAAAATTGTTAACCTGATTCGATAAGATGTGAATAATCGGCTGGATTTTTGACGTTATTACCTCCCCTTCCTTAAATCCTCCGATTCTCGAAACCGCGAAGGTGATATATATTTCATAAACAAGGGTGATAATGGAAGCAATTAATGTCAGAGAAATCGAGTGGCTGAATTGTAAAGAGTGTGTGTGTGTGTGTGTGTGTGTGTGTGTGTGCTTGAAAGAGAGGGTTGTAGATATCGATAAATCTGAAGGGGCGAAAATGGAAGTAAGACAAAAGAAAGAAACAAACAGGAAAACTTCTTGAAAATCCAGAACGGAATGGGCGATTACGAAATTCACATAGAAAAAAAGAAAACGATTACATTTATCATCGCACGACCGTTTCCGTTACCAAGTTTCCTTTCAAGTGGCCATTTCGTGACAAAGTGGACGTGAAAATTAACATTCGTCAATGATAACGACGATGAGAATACGTTTGATTGATAAGTATGAGTTCAAACGTGAAAAAAGTGGTCGCGCACATATCATCGTGCGATAGCTCGAATCGTTCGAAGTATCTGCGTGATGTCGTTTCTTTAGTTACGTAACCTTTCTATTCTGATACCTTGCAAGCCACGATAATTCGCACTTTCGTTCGGAAGCTTTTCAGGAAATTTCACGAAGCTCTGTTTATGATCGAAACAATCGTTAAGAAGAAAAAAAGGTAGAAAAAAAACGAACTACGGAGGAAGGCGGACGAAGTTTCTTAAGCGGATTGCGTAAGATCTCATTGGCCGACGTCACGGCGGCTGCTTGGTTTGTTGGTCCCTACTTGTTGGCGGTTCATTCGATTTAAAAAGAAAAATCAGAGAAATCAAGTCCCATAAAGCAGGCGTTAAACGACTGCAAACAGCGGGGCCCGCTAACCGCATCAGATCGTCAGAAAATTCTCTTTATTTACGCCGCGGTCCCGTATCCCTCGTGTGTTTACTCAGTCTAATTGACTCGTTTAAGCGTTCGTTGTTCCTCTCTCTCCCTTCGTAAACTGTTTTGAAATTGAACGTGTGATCCACGATTTTTTTTACAGTCTAATTACGAACACTATACAAGGCATCGCGAGTTTCGCGCTGCTATAGATACAATGACCAGGATGTCTTGGTCGATTCTGAGCGCCAAAAACTTCTGAAAGAAGCTTGATTACCTCGATAGTGCATCAGTCCACGGGGAGAAAAAGACAGAGAGAGAGAGAGTGAAAGAGAGAGAAGAATCTGGTCCTCCAACAAGACCATCATCGGCCCCGTTCACAATCTCGAACACGACCACGTACGGTGGAACTGGTGAATGGGCAGCAATTTGTGGCTCCAGTGAGGCAATTTCGGGGCCCGGTTGGCCCACGAGTGCGAAACCCCTGTCCTCGGGGGCCGAAACACCCACCCGGAGACGAACCGGGGCTTACCGTGTCTCGCGAGTGGGGCCCCGGGTAATATCTCGTTTAGACAGATTACAGGTTCGGGAACAGGCTGCCAATGTATAAAACAAACATCGTTAAGCAAGCCCTATACTTAGGGCCCACCTCTTCCACCTCTGTTCTGGGTAGCAGGTATTATGGGCAGTGCTGGACGATTCCAGGCCGAATCTTCGGACCCTCTGGGTTAGGATGCGTGTGCGCTCGTTCAGGCCACTAGGTAGGTCAGGACCACGGGGAACCCGCGAGCACAGTGTATTGAGACGTAGACCACCGGACGTAGATTGGGCCAGGCACAATTTCCGCGCGTGTAATTATACGTGATCGTCGTCTCTGCCTCCACTCCCCTCCCTTACCCCTCTAGGACAGCCTTAACTCGACTGCTTGTTATTTATCGAAGGAGATTGATTTAGAGCGGAGGCCTGGCCCCGTTCATTTTCATACGATTATTATCCGTCGCGTGATACGTGTTTCGATGTTTTTGGAACGGCTCGACCTGGGCCTTTAGCAAACCGTGCCCTCCCTGCCATCTACCCCCGTTGTCACGAAAAACACGAGACGACATTAACCGTCATCTGTACCGATCGAATCTTTTTTAGGATCTACACACACTTTTAAAACGATTGTCATCGTGGATCAACGGTGTAACACGTGGATAGGGTATAGTTCGCGTAAATGGGCCTTACAAACGTTCGTGTCGGAACAGTTCTCGAACAATAGGGAGCGCACAAGATTCGAACGGAATCGTCACGGTTCCAATATTAATTACTATTCCCGTAAACCTACACTCTATAGATGAGTCAGTTGTTCGTTATTTCACCTACGATTCCATGTCGTATTTAGGCTAACGACTCGACAGGATCGTTTGGAAGGAAGTACATTCGGCGAAGTTCGGTCAATTATTCAACCGAAACGTTGACAAAAAGTAAACGAACCCCGACTAAATCCATGGGGAGATATAGACTACTCGTCAGCTGGGACCAGAACCAAGGTACACCCAGAGAGCGCCTAACTTTTTACACTCACCTGCACATGTCACATATGAAATATGTAAATATGCATGCTCACCCTTTCTACTCGTATCCATCGTTCCGAGCTATTATAGTTTCCCGACGAAGTATTTGCGCTCCCGATTCCCCTTCGTCTGTCGTCGAGCAACACAGTGGTTCGTTGGCTGCTTTCGATCAAACGACTCCCTATAACCCTTCACTTTTTCCCTTCCCGCAACTTCCAGAGAGTTTTCTTGCGTTACACGATACATAGGAAATTTTCAATCACAGGCAGGAAAGTGTCCGCACAGAAGCGACCCAGGTCTTCGTTGACCATAGATGTTTTGAATTTTTAAAGGTGATGAAATACGCTTTTAAAGTTCGAAGCAAAGTGACCCCGACTGATTGAAGATTCGCGTTTCTTAAGGGCAGCGAGGTGGTGGACAAAACTTTCACGACGAACATTTTTTTCACTTAGAATACTTTACGGCGATCCCATCCCTACCCCGAAACGTCGATTTTCCCCTCCTAAGAGGCCAAATCATCTCCAGTCTCGCGAATTCGCGAACGAGTTTAATCCGGGGACCGACGCGATTTCCTGCGGTTTCGCGGGCCCCACTTGACTTCTCGTGTTTCGCCCGTAGCCCGTCATTTTTCTCACGGCTCTTGGCTTACGTCGTCACCTTCTATCGCGCGAGCAACGCAAACCGCAGGGACGATCGTTTAGCCTCTCCGCGCATAAAGGTGACCGCATTAGCAATGACCACTTCCGTTTCAATTGACCGAGTGGAATTGTCCGTGTTCTGAACGAACTAACCTCTAAGGATTACACGATATTACGTTCTATTCGACGGAAAACTGTAATGACTATCCCGTACGACGCACAGAAAAAAGCTTCTGTTGATCTTCCAGTTGACCATATGTAATTTGGAAATAGTATAAAAGTGGTGATATATGTTCGACTCTATCCCTTCTCTTAATATAAAAGCGATGTGCGCTGGTGTTACAATTTATAGATCTTAATATTAAGAATGTGGTCTAAGAATCGGTAAACCCAACATGCAATGAATATTGTATCACTTAGCGCAGCGATAGTTTTAATGTTAAAGCTTTTGGGACTTACCGGCCGCTTTTCGTGATGACCATCTCCGTACCCAGCTTGTGAAATTTCTCCCAAAGTTCTTTGCCTTCGAGGGTAACTTTCGGATCGTCCACGACACCGTCGTCTTCCGGCGGAGGCATGAGGGCAGGGTGAGGTCCTGCGAGCGGGTGATGGGGTGCCAGGGGATGCGGTGACGTGTGAAGCATCCCCGGGGGTAGGTGGGGCCTGAGTGGCCTCATCGTTGGTCCACCAGGTACACCCTGGTGATGATGGTGTAACGCTGCCGCCGCGGCCGCCAGGACGGCTGCTTCTTCAGGTGTGTGCGGGCCCAAACCTAGGCCTAAAATAATCATTAATATTCATTTTTAATTAAATGTCTCCTGAGTAGTGCCTTCGGTCGATTAATTAATACGCGATTACCGATAAACCGATCGTTTTTGAACTAAAGTATCAAAGAGCTTTTTACTGTACAAGGTGTCGAATGAATTTATAATTAAATTAGAAAGTCTATCTTCGGCATGTTACGTATGGAGTTCGTATTGATAATATCCGATTACAATATCCGTGCTCCTTAATTAAAATGTTATTAACGATTAATATTAATGGATATAAATCGATGCATCAGAGATAATTCGTACATCGGGCTTGGTCGATATTATTAGCGCCCAAGTACGATGGTAAATGTTAAATAGCAATCGAGGTAAATAAAACATCCGAACGACCCTTTACCTTAATTCGAAAGTTAAATATTGGAATATTTGTTGCTTTCCAATGAAATACACATCGTGGACTGAAAATCTTCCATGCGTATTGTCAATCTTAGGTTTTCCAATATGCATGGAGAAGATCAGAAGAACGATCAATCGAACCGTTCAATTATAAGAGAACAATTGGAGAACGTAGATTGCTTTATTGACCCTGGAGTAACGTCAGCTCTATTTTTAAGGTGCTACATCTGTTCGAACGAGAAATGTTGAAGGCAACCGCTAGTAACACGCGAAATTTTCAACAGAGAATGGAAATCAAAGTAATTACAATTACGATTATAATATTTACGTAGTTCTTCGTATATTTCGTTTTCAATATAGATTTCGATTCTCTGCTTTTAAATGTACGTAAGCACTCAGAACAAGAAGATAAATAGAAGAACGAACCATTGAGCACGACGTTTCCAAATAGTACGTGGGGTTAGACGTGGTAGAATAAGTAACGAGAGGCACCTTGTAGTGCTGTCAACTATCAATGCAATATCGAACGATAGTCTTTCAACCTTTCATCTTCATGATTCATATTTCTATGCGTTTATAGACAACAGATATTATAATTTGCTAAATAAACTAACACACGATGCACTGTAGCCTTCCCGCTTAGAGTAACGTCACTTCGACTATCGAAATATAGATTAATCGATTGGTGCAGTATCGAAGGTTCGAGTATGCGTGCGATCGCCAATGATCATTAGTTTCCTTGGCGCAAGTGTTTAGAAGTGAATGAAAATATATTATTATTCACAGAAAATTAGATGTTCGACATAGAAATATTAGGAACATCCACTGGTGACTCATTTTTTGTGTAGTGAGTATATTGTACACGTGATTTTTCAATAATGAGTCGAAATCAACGAAACAATATTTACGATTATACTATTTCAATAGTTCTCCATATATTTTGGATATATTTCATTTTCAATTACGATTTCGGTTCCCTGCTTTTATATAGGTATACATATGTGCTCAGAAAAATAATAAAAGTGAAAGAACAAACCACCAAGCACGAAGTTTCCAAGTAGTACGAGGGTTAGTGAGGTTACGCGTGGTAGAGTCAGTAACGAGAGGCATCTTGGGTCTGTCCGCCGTCAGTGAAATATTGAACGAGATTCTTTCTTCTTCATGATCTACATTTCAATAACGTTTATGAAGAACAGATTTTATAATGTGCACAATAAACTGTTTCAACATATCACGCTGAAGCCTTCCCACTAAGAGTAACGTCACTTCGACAATCGAAATATTTATAAATCGATCGGATCAAATATCGAAAGTTCGAGTCTGTTGCCTAACCGCCAACGACCATTAGCGTGCCTGTTGTGTTCGGGAGAAGAAGTGTATCCGCAAGATTTAAACAAATTCCAATCATTCAGAAATCAGTGGTAATTATATTATTCTTTACATGTAATTAGAGTTAAGAACCATCAGACTATCTGTTTCAACGTAGCATGATTATTCACAGTTACATTTCTTTATATTCACAGCATCTACAGTGTTGTGTTGTGCGTGAAGGACTGAGGAGGTTATGTTGTGCTTTCCCAAATCGTGACTGCTACCGATGCAACATCATATAACACAGACTGTTCGTCTATAAATAGAATTTTGAAGCTGATCGGTGAGTTTTTCGAATACTACATCAAGTCTATGTTGTGTAGAAAGTGTATTTCCATTGTACAGCATAATTACATTGCAAACTTTACAAATCTATAGAAGGTACATCAAAGTACGAAACACCAAATGGTATATAAAAGTTGATAGACTTGTTGAGATCATTGACAAAGAAAGTAAATTACCACATAACATTCATTTGTATACGGAGTATAATTTTTTCTGTAGAAATTCATGCATGACTCAACTTAGTACATTTATTATACCACTTGCATGAATCTGTAGAAACGCTTCTATGCATGTTGACTGAATGTTGAACAGATCATGAATAGACTTCCTAATCTACTGTCAGGTTAGTTAAGTACATTTGGTAAGTTACCGGTGAATACGGCAATCAACAAAACGATCAACGTTACTCTCCATTTGTTGTACGTCACACGATTAATACTCGTCCGAATGGAAACTTTATTTATTGTTTCTGAATACAAATGCCACCGGGATCTGCATAAAATTCCCGTAAATTTCGTCGGTCTCTTTCAACTAAATTGAGAATCAATAACACCGGACAATTAAGATATCGAACGATGACGCGATCAACATTTCATAAACGGACGTTCGACGTTTGTTTCGCCCGTCCATGAGATTTCTCGAAATTTATCGATTCCTCGCGTCGTGATCGGAGGATTAAACAACCGCCTCGATTAGCAAAAATCGCCGTTTAATTTTTCGATCTGAAAGATCTTCTTAAGTTTGATCGTCCATGACGGTGTATCCTCGAAAAGTCACGATTTAATTCGCCTCCCTATCGACTTATCTTAGTCGGCGAAGAAATTAATTATTGAATAAAGCCGAATTGTTCCGTTCCCACGATTTTTAAATACCTCCCAGAGGCGAACGTGATCTCTGCCCAAGCCGACTATCGTCGACCGCTTAGAAATTATCATTCATAATGATGCAAATCACGATTATATATTTATGACTAATGATGTAGTTAATAGTTTGCGGCACGGACAAGGCTCCTGGTATTTTCTTTCTGTTTCGATCAATTGCCGGGTGCACAGACACGCGGGAAGAAAATAAAAAGTACGCGAAACCTGTTGCCACCGTTAATGACTTGATGATTGTTATCATACAAAGTCCGCGCGAGCCGATCATTAAATCGATACCGTTCATCTGTCTCGTATTTCTCTGTATCTACGGCTCTCCGCGAGTGTACATTGCTGCGCCGTTTCACTTCGATTCCCGCGCGTTTCCATCGACATTGTGCACCCCTTCCTCCCTCCTTCTCGCGACTTGGTTCTCTCTGATCGACTCTTTCGTCCCGATTGCATTTCGAAGGAACTGCAACGGTAGATTACGAAAAAACGGCTGGCAATCGAAATGGAACTGCTGAAAATTTAATAAATAACCACTGACCCGAATATACGTGCCCAGATCGACGAAAAATTAATTTTAAATGCGAATAGGAAAATTCACAAGCTAATAAAGTTGGGTTATTTAACGAAAAGAAAAAAATTGATAGGATAGGAAAATTGTGCTTCATAGAAAAATCCCGTAAAAGTCGTGTGATTATTCGAAGTAACGTTTGAATCCTTTTCGTCGAGGTCCATAGACCAAGAAATAGTTTCTTTTCTATCGGCATTACGTCAGCTGAAATGCATCCTGGTAATTGCGTCACGATGTAAATATGTTCGTCGACCTAACGGCGCAAATATTGCTGCCTACCGTGATATTGTAACGGGGGAAACGACCGATCCCCTACGGTTCAATTAAATCGTGTTGTTTCGTGTATTGTTGTTGCGTCATGATTAAATTTGCTCGGCGGAAATTATGCGAACACGTAGATTGACTTTTCCGTCGTAATTTCATGGAACCCGATACGTTTATCAAGAATATGACATCAGAATGTGACAACTATTTAATTTATTTTTTCGAGTTTTTTGCGCGTGCTATCGACGATGATTCATCGTCTGAGTCAATTACAATGTTTCCAATCCACTTGTTAACTGTATTTCAATTACTTTTTTTCGAACGGAGCACTAGAAAATATTCTATGCGTAAGTGTTTCGGGTCATCGAGGCCCTCGCCGTTTCACGTTGAATTTCTCGGTTTTCAACACTCACTCGACACGAATTCGGTCGATTGTATTCCGCGAATGCTGGATCGTTAGAATAAAAGATCCCCGTAACCATGTATCGGGTCGGAAGGATCAACGATTTTCCGCGTAGAACGCACGACGAACAAGAAGAATTGCCTCGGTCGGGCACGGATAAACGATCACGGTTCACTTTTTTTTTCTTTTAGCGAGAGAAATTTCACCTGGAAACCGCGGACTACAATGCCAGCCGCCATTAATTGCGCCCCGCTTTCTATCGGTCGCGAGGCTTTTTTTTCTTTTTATCTTTTCCCCCCGTGTTCGCTTACAGTAAGATTCGATAACGCAACGATTGAACCAAGTGGAATCGATTTCTCCGTTAAACGTACCGCTTGGGATAAACAATTTAATTATATCGATCCTTACGATTTTTAAGTCGATCTTTAAAAAAAAAGAAACGCTCTATAGAATCAAACGACGCTTCGAGGGATCGACTTTCTTCGAAAATGAAGCTTGAATGAAAATATGGCACACTTTTGAGACTGTAGTTTTTCATGGATAATAATTATTCATCGACTGCGGCGCGAAAACTAGTCGAGTTTCACATTGGGTTTCTCTAATTCCAGGGGCTACCACGTCACGCCGCGAATTTCGAATTCGCCGGACGTTTGGTCGTGCCCTTGGTAAGATTAAACGCCATCGAAGCCGCGGTCAGTTGGCTGACAGCCCAACTAGAAAATGGTTGGGTGGGGGTAAGATTTCGAAAAATGATCGGGAAACGGCAGGTGATATATCGGGGAGAAATCGTGCTCCTTACCCTGTCATCCTTTCGTTTTCCATTTAACAGACAATTGAATCCTGATAGAAGGC